AGCACTTCAACTTTGAGGTAAAAACCATTGCCTCTATTAATCTTGAGAATTGAGACTGTAATCTTAGGTCAGAAAGTTTTTTGTCTTTCACAGATGATGCTGTATTTGGAGGATTTACAAGAGAATAATCATAATTTCTTTCAAAAAAGTTATCTTAGCATTTAATACACACCGTGAGCAAAATTTATATCAGTTTTCATGTATAGAATACATACTGTACTCTAAATATTTAAAGTACTGGTAATCCCATGTACAGCCAAACAGCTTAACCAAGTCTACATAACATTCAAGAAACAAATTGGTTGGGAGAGCATATTAGAATGTTAATTTTTTGGTTTATCCCAGAATTTTATAATACTGTACTCTGAACCCTAATCAGTGTTGCAGAAACAATTTCTGAAGGACATTAATTTTTGTCTGCTGTTTTATTTGATTTCTCATCAGTAGTTAATTATGAAAATAACACTTGCATCCTTTCGATATAAGCCCTTCACCTGCATCAAGGGAGGCTCCTTAATGCAGGTGAAGGGCTTTTGATCCAAAAACTTGGACCTAACCTCCTCTCCTTGGATTGAACTTGAGTTCCTCCCGTTACCCCAGATGCTGTATGACCCCCTGAGTTTAATGCTCCCTCTCTTCCCTCCCCATGAATATAATAATAATCCACAAGTTTTTTTTATCATTGAAAAGCTATTTTTAAGTTAAAATGAAGTGTTTATCAGTTGAACTCTGCTTTTCGTTATTATTAATCAAAGCAATGGAACTTCTTAAGTATATCTTAATATGGTTTTTGGAAATGTAGGAAATTTGATAAATACTGTACACTTAAATTATATGCAGTTCATGTGACATTTTAGGCATTCTCATACTTTTCATACATAATGATCTGCTTTTTTTAAGCTGTATGTTTAGAGAAAAAGATTGATTGTTGTATATTATGTATATTAAACAATAAGGGTTGGGACTTTTTTTTTTTTTTCACCACATGACAGTAGATACTGTAGTAGATCTGTTTAACTATTAGGTTTTTAATCCTTTTAAACAGTGGTTGTTTCTGCAGGAATGCAGTTTTGTGACTTCTGGATTCACATACAGTAATCTTGTGGGCTCTCATATCTATCATGCAAGAGTTGAGTGATAATAATTCAGAGAATGAAGTTTACAGCCTACTGTAATGTACATGTACAGTACATACACAAATTTTGTATATAATGTATACTTTTATTTTTAGATTACAAAGCAATGTAGATTTGGTTAGCCAACTTTAAAGTAAAAAAAAAAAAAAGTTCAGGAGAGCAATTCAAATTAAATAAGTAATGTTACATGTTCTTTTATATTATCATGTAAAAGTTATTGTAAAAAAAAAATTTTGAAAATACTGCTTCTGTAAATTTGTTAACTTAATGGGAGTACCTATAGTTTATGCAAGGCAGTTTAGTGTAACAGAAGCATTACCAAGTGTATGGTAATGTACTAAATGCAAAAGTTTATCATAAACCGTGATTTATGATTAGTAGCATAGCTCAGATCAACTTGGGGTATTTTGTTTACATTTGTAAACCTGCACTTGCTTTATTCATTACTATTAAATTCATTTTATACACATCTGATATTATGTTCTATTTGGCACTTTGCTTCATTGAATGAAATGTAGTAAAGAATTATTTTCCTATTATGTACTGTACTGATATTCACAGCTAATGTTTTATATTCTAATGTGATTTTTGTTTGATTTTGTAATTGGCTGGCATTTATCTTGTGGATAATTTGTGTGTGTTGTCATAACCTGTTCCTTTCTTCAATATTTTAAATAGGTAACAAAAAATATCACAATTTCATGGCTAAAACAAATCACAAGTAGTATACAAATTAGAAATGAAAGTTGTGTAACTTTTCAGTCTGTCCTGGATCACTATAAAGTTGATGGATGAGGAACAACAAAAGCCAGCAGAGAGATCAAAGTAGGGTTGATTGCATAGGTCAGGTAAAGTTAAATGAGTGAAGAATGAGAGGTAATGGCAGTATACTGGGAGAGGCAAGCATTTATGGAAAAAAAGTATTGAAATTCATACTGGCAATGTTCAAACAGTATTGAAGCTTGTTAGTGATGTCTGTGAAGCAAACTTGAAATAGACCTTTTACACAAGTCTTTCTTATTTATGGCTTATCCAGATATTACTGAAAAGAATAGTGATGTATCAACAAAGTGAACACTTCTTTTGCATTCTATGTGGCTCTGGAAAGATAATAGCCAGTTTCAACATAGTATGGTAGAGGGCAAGAGCAGGAAAAAGTAAAAGCTTAAGTACCATTGGCAGTTGTTCCTGTTTAGTAATAGGCTCAGCAGATCAAGAACATCATTCAGTTTTCATTTCCAGTTTGCTGGTGCGTTCTAACAAAACATTGTAATAAGTTTTCTTTATAGTCAGAATTCTCATTTTTATAATATTGTTAATAAATGCAAAATTAAATATATACAGTGGTACCTTGGGATACGAACAGCTCAAGATGCGAACAACTGTGTAAGTTTATTTATGTAAGTGCTTTTGTAAGTATATTTTTGGGGGTCTGAAATGGATTAATCTAATTTGTATTATTCCTTGTGGGAACAAATTCATTTGGTATCAGCACTCGAACAGCCTTCTGGAACGAAATAAGTTCATATCCCGAGGTACCACTGTGTGTGTGTGTGTGTGTGTGTATACACACACATCCACACACACACAGTGGTACCTCAGGATACAAACCTAATTTGTTCCAGAAGGCTGTTACACAGCCGATACTGAATGAATTTGTTCCCATAAGGAATAATGTAAATTAGATTAATCCATTTCTGATCCCCAAAAATACACTTACAAAAGCACATACATAATTGTTCAAGTTTTGAGCTGTTCGTATCCCGAGGTACCACTGTATACATACACACAAACATACATGCACATGCACACACACGTGCACACACACACACACATACATGCACATACACATGCTTATACACACACACGTGTACACACGCACACGTGCACACACACGCGCACACACACGTGCGTGCACGCACACACACACACACACACACACACACACACACACACACACACACACACACACACAAGGTGGACAAAGACAGGATGTTCCAGAGATGGGACACAGCAACAAGGAAACACAGTTGGAAGTTGAAGATGCCGATGAATCACAGGGATGTTAGGAAATATTTCTTCAGCCACAGAGTAGTCAGGAAGTGGAATAGTTTGGGAAGCGATGTAGTGGAGGCAGGATCCATACATAGCTTTAAGCAGAGGTATGATAAAACTCATGGTTCAGGGAGAGTGACCTAGTAGTGACCATTGAAGAGGTGGGGCCAGGAGCTTGGACTCGACCCCTGCAACCTCAACTAGGTGAGTACACACATACACGCATATATATATACACGCGCGTACACACACACACACACACATACACACACACAGTGGTACCTCGAATTTCGAACAGCTCCCAACTCGAACAATTATGTAAGTGTATTTTTGGGGGTCTGAAACGGACTACTCTAATTTACATTATTCCTTATGGGAAATTCATTCAGTAATGGCACTCGAGCAGCCTTCTGGAACTTGAGGTACCCCTGTGTGTATATATATATATATAAAGATTTCATCCTAAAAAAAAAATGCTTTTGAGTTTGACATTGGCGTTGTTAACAATTTTATTTGTCCATTTTCTTTATTGAAAATTCTAGTCATAACTAAGATAATACCAGTAGTTTTCACACTGGTGAAGTGTTAAGAGGTGTTTTTGATGTCGTTGATACATTCTCTTATAGGCTGAAAAATAACTCAATATTGCAGATATGTCTGTATTGTGTGGTGTATATCGAATCTCTTGTTACAAGAAGAGTTTTTGGTATGGACGTGGGTTTATGGTTGTCTTAATGTAAAACTTGAAATTCAATAATTTGGTTACATTACACAAGCTGAATTTTATTACAATTATTTAAAAAATGTGACCTTCACATTGGAATGTATCGTTGGCTTCAAGAATTCTTTTGAAAGTGGAAGTCAAGTGTGGCATTGTACATTAACAAAATAAATTTATTTATGTATTTCATGTGGTTATGTACAGAGCAGCTGTATGACCCATACAGGTGTGGCGCTTGTTTTCAAATATATGTAAAGAGCAAACTACCAGTACAACTGGGCATTTTTTTTTTAATTTGTTTGCCCTGCTCTATTATTTCTTTGGTCAATTTGTTTATTTCCTCAAAGGTTTGGTGTAAATAGTTTTGATAGCCTTATGGTCAATCATGTTACATATTTGTACATTATGTAAAGAGAGTAAAACTATTTTAAAAGTTAGAAATGGTTTTCTTAACCTAATGACTGTTTTTATCCTTTAAATAGCCCTTGTGGCTTAGTGCTTCTTTTTGATAATAATAATAAAATAATATCCTTTAAATTATATATTAACACAAATAACCTGCACTTAGGAAACTAAAACTTGGGACATTAACTAGTTCTGTGTGTGACTAGTTAATGTCCAAGTCGGACTGAAACGTCATAAGTTCATCTCGTAAGTTCGGGTTATTTGTGTATTTTTTTGTCACTGTATTGTGCCTTTATATTTAAATTATAATTTTGTAAAAAATTCTGCCTTTGAGGGTGATGCCTTGATACTGTTGAAGGGTTTGTGATCCAAGGAATTAGAACTGCCCTCCCATTTATTGGATCAATTATAATCATGGGGGAGTGCTAAACCCCCAGGATTATACAGTGCATGTGGGGGGGGGGGATGGAAAGCATTCAGGCTCAATTCAGGGAACTGGAGCACAGATCCAATTTCCTAGATCAAAAGCCCCTCACCAGCATCAAGGAACCTTTATTGGATCAAACCTGATCTCATTGCCCAAGTGCTGTATGACCCTCAAATTTTTTTCACAACTAGGTGCACCTTTGACAAGGAATGCTTAAGGCACTGAATGGGAAATGAGTAAATTTAATATACCACAATTGTGTGTAGTAATTTTATTATATACTGCTTGACATTTATACAGTTTTCTTTCTTTTTTGGGTCACCCTGCCTCGGTGGGAGATGGCCGACGTTAAAAAAAAAATTATACAGTTAATGCATCGAAGGTCTTTCATTGTAGTGGTTTAGTTAAACAAGCTCGCCACAGTTAGAAATGATGACCTTTTCCGTTGGTTTTCCTGCCTTTGTTCCACACTTCTGAAAATTAAGGTCATAGTTAATGCAATACATCATTACCAAAATAGAAATTCAAGTAGTGTGATTAATGTGTAGTGCTTAGTTATGATTATAATACAGCCTCTTCTCACTTAGCGACATACAGTGGACCCCCGGTTAACGATATTTTTTCACTCCATAAGTATGTTCAGGTGCCAGTACTGACCGAATTTGTTCCCATAAGGAATACTGTGAAGTAGATTAGTCCATTTCAGACCCCCAAACATACACGTGCAAACGCACTTACATAAATACACTTACATAATTGGTCACATTCGGAGGTAATCGTTATGCGGGGGTCCACTGTACTTGTTTACCATCGACTTGGACTTATGACGGGCTCTCTGACCAACATTCATACCTAAATACAGTGGACCCCCGGTTAACGATTTTAATCCGTGCAAGAGGGCTCATCGTTATGCGAAATAATCGTTATGCGAATTAATTTTCCCCATAAGAAATAATGGAAATAAAATTAATCCGTGCAAGACGCCCAAAAGTATGAAAAAAAATTTTTTTTACCACATGAAATGTTAATTTTAATACACACAAACTGAAAAAGGCATGCACAATTACATGACACTTACTTTTATTGAAGATCTGGTGATGATTGATGGGATGGGATGAGGGGAAGCATTATCTTCTTACTGTTTAGAAGGGGAATCCCCTTCCATTTACGACTTGAGGTAGCAAGTCCTTTTCTGGGGTTACTTCCCTTCTTCTTTTAATGCCACTAGGACCAGCTTCAGAGTCACTGGACCTCTGTCGCACAACAAATCTGTCCATAGAGCTCTGTACCTCCCTTTTTCTTCAAGACTTTCCTAAAATGGGCCATAACATTGTCATTGAAATAGTCACAAGCACGGCTTGCAACAGCTGTGTCAGGGTGATTTTCATCTAAAAAGGGTTTGCAGTTCAAACCACTCTGCACACATTTCCTTAATCTTTGAAGTAGGCACAATGGATTCCACAACTGGCATAGGCTTCTCAGGGTTAGCCCCAAACCCTTCAAAATCTTTCTTAATTTCCATACTAATTCTCACCCTTTTTACCACAGGGTTGGCACTAGAAGCTTTCTTGGGGCCCATGGTCACTTATTTTCCAGAAACACCACCGAAAACACTGTAATAATACGAAATATTCCGAGTGTATGCTTGGATGTTACCGCGGAGGCTGGCTGGTAAACAATGGGACGGCCGGCACATGTGAGGGCACATTGGACGCGTCTCGGACGAAAATCGGGATGCGGGTTTTTAATCGTATGCGGGGCAAAAATTTGCGATAAAAGTAATCGTTATGCGGAAAAATCGCTATGCGATGCCATCGTTATGCGGGGGTCCACTGTAATGTATAATGGAGCTGATTTCCTCTATTCTGTTTATTCCAATATACATTACACTATAAATAACAAAAAAAAGGCCTGAGCTTGTTACCATCTGCAGCTCATAAGACTGCCATCCCCACGAGCCCCTTTGAGGCAGGGTAGATGGCAGACCAGAGGCCTAGCTTCTCCCTACGAGCCCCGTGAGGGCGGGGAATGTGGCTAGGCCTGGGGACACTTGGTCCCAAAGATGAGGAGGTACTTGTACCTCCTCCCATGGGAGACTTAAGTCTCGAGACACTCCCCAGATAGGGAGCCAAGGCCGGGTCACCACTACTTGGAAAAGACCCGGGCCGGGAGAATACCGGCGAATAAAAAAAAAAAAAAAAAAAAGGCACAATACCGTGACGGGAATGATACACAAATAACCCGACAAAAAGAAGAAGCTTACACGACGTTCGGTCCGACTTGGACATTGACAAAGTCAAGTCGGACGAAAGTCTCGAAGCTTCTCTTTTATGTGCGGTTATTTGTGTATACACGGTAAACATTTAAAAATAACTAACAATGTTAGAATGGTGCAAAGGTGCATTAAAAATATCAAAGGGGTTTTGACACAAACCCACTGCATTATAGAAATGCTCCTCTTTAACGATGAATTTGTTTACTGACGTGCTGTATAGTCCTTGTGGCTTAGCGCTTCTTTTTGATTATAATAATAATGTTTACTGACGTGGTCTTAGGAACGGAACTCCGTCCTTAAGTGAGGAGAGGCTGTAATAATAATAGTGTGATTAATACACTCCCCATAATTTAATTGCTGCATTACGAGAATTAGTTTGACATCACAATTTACCTGACCCTTCCCTTCCAAATCCCATCTCCAACCATTCATCAGAGTGTAGGCACTATTTCCATAACTATATCTAGCTCTCCTGCATTCAGCTGTAATTTTATTGAAACTACATACATGTATATTCTGCAGCTTCTCCTGCGACTCCTCCTAAATTTGATCCAGTTTATTAGGGACGGAACATTTGCAGAGGCAAATGTTCCATCCTTGAATGATCAGCATGATGCATATTGCCTCTGATATTTTGTCCACTCTCATGACCTTCACGATCTTCTACACAGAGGATGGCAATGGACATTAGTAGAGGTCCATTAACTGTGTGCCATCCCTGTTTACTCTGTCCCTTTTCTCTTCATCTTCACTCGCTCTTGGCTTCTCTTCAATTGCCCCTTTTAAATGTTCATCTAGCATCGAACTTTTCTCTTTCCCCTTGCAAGTTTCTAACAGTTCGTCTGTTCTTCCCCATTGCCATGTGCAAAAGCTCAAATACTTACAGTGGCTTCTCCCTCCCCTTTTTCACCACCACTTCTGGTCTCATTCTCATGCCACTGCAGTTTACACTGATTGTTCTAAATCCAATGACAGTGTCGAGTTTGCAGCAGTGTTCCTGGAAAGTGTTGTGCAAGGTCATTTATTAGACTTGGCTAGCATTTTCACAGCTGAACTGTGTGCAGTTTTCATAGCCGTTATATGTGCAGTGTAACCTAGGTTTTCATTTTTAATTTGTTCCAGAGAGTCTGACGAAAGCCAAATTCTTTGAAAACTACAGCAATATTTCCCATGAGAAATAATGTAAATAAAATTAATTGTTCCAGACACCCAAAAATATTAACAAAAAATATTTTATAGAGAATAACCATAGTTTTACATATGAAAAACAATGAGAAATAAATATAAAGCACTAATTTTAATGGATAAATGAACATTTAAATCAGTTTTACTGAAGACATGTTTGTCCAAACTTGTAGCCTCACCATACCTTAATACATTGTGTATGCCAGATCGCTTCTTGAAGTTGTTTAACCTGCCTCTGCTGGCCTTTAATTCACTAACAGCAGCACTCGTTCCAGGCATATTCTTTATGAGATCCACATGCAACTGCCTTGACTTTTCGCAAATTATCGCCTCCACAACACTATCTCCCACAGTTTTTCATTGATCCACACCAACAACAACTTCTCAATATCTTCAATTGTTTGCGTTCTCTGTTTCATTAGCACACTTACCCCTTTCGCAACATCAGATTTCTTTTTCTTCGCCAGAATGGAACTGACCATTGATGAGGACTTCCCGTACATCCTGATGAGATCGACCACATGTACGCAACTTTCGTACTTTTCTTCAAGTTCTTTCTAGAATTTTATCATGTTTCTCACCTTCTTTATCAAAGGGCTGGCACTTGGAACTTTCTTTGGCCCCATGGTGGCTTATTTAGCATTTACACTCAATAAACAAGCACAAAAAAAAATCGATTATTACAAAATGTTTTGTATGAATGCACAGGGTAATGTTCACTTGACAAGAAACAAAGCCAGAATGTGTGCGTGGGCTGCTTTGTGTGGGTGCGAGCACGTGGACACGTTCGGTACGGCGGACGAGAATTGTAAACGTTTCGCCATCCAGTGGCTTTTATCAATACAAATTCCAGGACATAACTTGAAGACAGTAGGACTATATACAGAAGATGAGGTAATCAGTCCCTCAAACTAGGAGTAGGTGTGAAGAGCACCATAGTCGTGGAGATTCTCAGAATCTCCATGACTACGGTGCTCTTCGCACCTACTCCTAGGTTGAGGGAGTGATTACTCCATCTTCTGTATATAGTCCTACTGTCTTCAAGTTACGTCCTGGAATTTGTATTGATAAAGCCACTGGATGGCGAAACGTCTACAATAAAGATACCCAGATGTTGCACATGTGTCTTAATTTCAGAATGGATATAAGTGCTCTGGAAAACGTACAGAGGAGGATGACAAAAATGATCCCATGTATCAGAAAGATACATGGGATCCCATGTATCAGAAATCTGCACTCTCTCGAAAGGCGTAGAATTAGGGGGGATATGATCGAGGTGTATAAATGGAAAACGGATAAATAAAGGGGATGTAAATAACGTGCTGAAAATTTCCAGCCAAGACAAGACTCGCTGCAATGGTTTCAAGTTGGAAAAATTCAGATTCAGGAAGGATATAGGAAAGCACTGGTTTGGTAATAGAGTTGTGGATGAGTGGAACAAACTCCCGAGTACAGTTATTGAGGCTAAAACGTTGTGTAGTTTTAAAAACAGGTTAGATAAATACATGAGTGGGTGTGGGTGGGTGTGAGTTGGACCTGACTAGCTTGTGCTGCTGGGTCTGGTGCCGTGCTCCTTCCTTGAGTGGAGGTGACCAGACTGGGTTGGTCAGTTTGCTAATCTGGGGGGAGGGAAGGGACCTGCTCTGCATGGGTCTGTAGGCCTGTTGCAGTGTTCCATCTTTCTTATGTTCTTATATAAAAGTGTTGGTACCACAATGGTTCCCCTTTTTTGCCTCCACAGATGCCTCAACACGCTAGCCACCTTTTTCCAATCATCTATTCTATGGTTCATCTCATCTTTCATATTTATCTGCTGACATGTCCACTCCCAGATATCTAAATGCATTAACTGCCACCATACTCTCTCATATCTGATGTTCAGTATCACTGCTTTGACATTTTTTGGTTGCCCTTATCACTTTGCTTTTTCTATGTTCACTTTTAATTCCCTTCTTTTACATACTCTTTTTAAATTCATCTACCAACTTTTGCAACATGTCTTCAGAATTCCCTAAAACAATTGTAAGCAAAAAGTAACTGTGAGAGCTCCCATTTTCCATCAGCTCCAACATCTTGCAACCTGCACCTCCCAACAATCATGCATTCACTTTTTCTTTAACGAACTGGATATATCCCACCAATGTAGGGTAACCTAAAAAGAAAAAAAACAAGTTTTTCTTTTTAAATTTAGTAATTTATACAGGAGGAGTTTCCAGCCCCTTGCTCTCACAACCCAATCTATAAAAGTTAAACAACCATGGTGGCATCACTCATCAGTTATGATACTGCAAAATGTCCATTTCTTAAAAAGTATTGCTGTACAATAAAAGTCATTGCAATATTGCTAAGCTCTATACAGAAATGTAAAGCAATCTTACCTCCATTTTTCTTATTACATCTAAGCCAGTGACAACTTGTCCAAATACAACATGCTTATTGTCTAGCCATTCTGTGCGCTCAGTAGTGAGGAAGAACTGAGAGCCATTACTGTTAGCACCTGAATTTGCCATAGAAAGTATTCCTGGACCTGAAGACAAAGAGAATATATATGCTGCATAGCTTTGTATTCTTGACAGATTTAGGTCATATTTTCAGATAAAAGGTAAAGCCTTCACATTACTCTTACCAACCTTATCATGTTATTGTCTACAGCAAAACCATGTAATATTCCTCCAAGGTATTTCATTCATGACTTCTACATCAGTCATGAGCCTTGATGAAAGGCTAATGATCCAAAGAACTGGAGCTACTCTCCCTTTGCTTGGATCAATCATAACTATCTCCCATTTCTCAGGCACTGTATGACCTACAGGTTCAGAGCATTTCTAATCATTGAAGTTACATCACATAAAATTATTATTTAATCTGGAAAGTTATTTAAAAAAAAGCAATGAATGACCTATACCTTTAGAGCTTTTTGTGTTACTACAGAAATAATGATAGGTAATGTGTATTTTAAAAAGTTAATATTCGACATGCACAAAGTTTGAAAATTTAAAAGTAACATACATGTAATTTATAGCATAAAGTCAATAAAAAATCAGTGATACCTTGTTTCCCCACCGAACTTGACCAGTTCCCTGAGAACTGCACATTTCCAGATATTTCAGCCAAAATATAACTTTACAGGCACTTTAAAGCTCAGCAAAACATTCTTCAGGCAATGTATGACCCCTGCAGGTTTAGCACTTCCCATAAATATAATAACAATCACAAACATTTTTATGAAACCTGAGAAAGTGAAGTGTACATGAAAGATAATATCATGTTTAGTTATTTAGTTTAAGTTGGCTTTTGTAACTTCTCTTCTCCTTGAGGTAAAGGGGTGTTTGATGATGGTGAAGGCCACTTGATCCAAGGAAGTGGAGGTACCCTCACCTTCCTTAGATCAAACCTGATTACTTCCAGCTGCCTAAGTATTGAATGACCTCTACAGGTTTAGTGTTTCTCAATGATTATAATAATAACTGCATCTGCTACTAATGTGAGATTATGATTTTTTTTTTCTTCTTGGGGTAAACATTAGATGGATGAGTGAAAATATAGCAAAGGGCAGCAGTTAGTTATAACACAACCCTTAGGGATATACAGTAGGACCCCCAGTATCTGCAGGGAAGACATTTCAAAACTTACCATGGATACCCAAAACCACAGATAGTAGCAAACTTTATACATTAGGGCCCCACTTATAAGGCAGGTTAGGCTCCAGGCTGACATTGGAAAACGAACATTGCCAGAAAGCAGAATGACATTTTTCCACTTATAAATGAATCTAAATGCCAGATAACAAGTTTACACTAACATGTACAGTGGAGCCTCATTTTTCAGCTGTAATCCATTCCAGAAGGTTGGAGTATGGAAGAAGTGAATGTTTTTAGATATTTGAGAGTTGACGTGTCAGCGTATGGATTTATGAAGGATGAGGTTAATCATAGAATTGATGAAGGAAAAAAGGTGAGTGGTGCATTGAGGTATATGTGGAGACAAAAAACATTATCTATGGAGGCAAAGAAGGTAATGTATGAAAGTATAGTGGTACCAACACTCTTATATGGGTGTGAAGCTTGGGTTGTAAATGCTGCAGCAAGGAGATGTTTGGAGGCAGTGGAGATGTCCTGTCTAAGGGCAATGTGTGGTGTAAATATTATGTAGAAAATTCGGAGTGTGGAAATTAGGAGAAGGTGTGGAGTTAATAAAACTATTAGTCAGAGGGCTGAAGAGGGGTTGTTGAGATGGTTTGGTCATTTAGAGAGAATGGATCAAAGTAGAATGACATGGAGAGCGTATAAATCTGTAGGGGAAGGATGGTGGGGTAGGGGTAGTCCCCAAAAAGGTTGGAGGGAAGGGGGTAAAGGAGGTTTTGTGGGTGAGGGGCTTGGACTTCCAGCAAGCGTGCATGAGCGTGTTAGACAGGAGTGAATGGAGACAAATGGTATTTGGGACCTGATGAGCTGTTGGAATGTGAGGAGGGTAATATTTAGTGAAGGGATTCGGAAACCGTTATTTTTATACAGCCGGACTTGAGTCCTGGAAATGGGAAGTACAATGCCTGCACTTTAAAGGAGGGGTTTGGGATATTGGCAGTTTGGAGGGATATGTTGTGTATCTTTATACGTGTATATGCTTCTAAACTGTTGTATTCTGAGCACCTCTGCAAAAACAGTGATTATGTGTGAGTGAGGTGAACGTGTTGAATGATGATGAAAGTATTTTCTTTTTGGGGATTTTCTTTCTTTTTGGGTCATCCTGCTTCAGTGGGAGATGGCCGACTTGTTAAAAAAAAAAAATCCGTTCCAGACACCCAATAAAAAAAAAAAAAAAAATTTTAAAGATTAACCCTGTCAGGGTTTGTCCCGTAGATCTACGGCTTCACGTTGAGTGTCCAAACCGTAGATCTACGCCAAAATTCTAGCGCCGTCAAATTTAGCGCGAAAGCACTCATAGGCCTACATGTGAGAGAACGGGTCTGCGTGGTGGGTGTGCGCCATAAACAAAAAATCTAGGAGCCCGCATAGCATTGTGGGAACGCCGGCTCAGTTACCCTTATTCACCATGCCTCGTCGCAAGTCAGCTCTCACTCCCCGGAAAATTGGGACTCTCTTCCTATCTGATAGTTCTGACACTGATGGAAGTGGAAATGAAGATGAATTCTATGGCTTTGATCAGTTAGTGACAGAAAGGAACGACCAGGATATCGATAATAGTGCAGAAAACCCTGACGATCCTCAACCTTCTACCTCTGGTGTGGGCACTTGTGACTCACTGTCGGTTGTGCCTTAACGCAAGAGAAAACTAATATTTTCATGTGGCCAGGCCTCTGACTTCAGTAATGATGATGATAGTGACGTGGATTGTGATTTTATTGCGCTTGACGATCATTCGAGTAGTGATAGTGAGGAATCATATTCACCAGTGAAGCGTCGGTATGTTCGTCGCCGCATGTGCTCGAGTAGTGTACCCTATGCTGTGCCCAGGGGACGGAGTACATCCCGGAGTACATCCCGTGGCCCTACACCAGGTTTTAGATAGTGATAGTGGGGAAATGATGTGGCTACACTTGGCATGGATAGACCACAGGCATCAGTAGATGGTGGTAGTGGTGATGGTAGTGGCACCGCCATGCGTGACTCACCAGCCCAGGCTGGGACCCACACTGCTGACTCGTCAGTTCAAGGACAAAGCAGAGCATCAGCCACCAGCCCACCACAACCACAACCACCCGCACAACCAGCCTATGATGTCCAGTATCCACCAGCAAACCGTATCTGGGATTGGCAGCAAAATCCCAATTTTGTTCCCAAGCCCCACCACTTTGATGACTCTCAAAGTGGAATTCTACCTACTTGTCCCCTTGGAACCACAACCAATGAACTGGAATTCTTTGAATTATTCTTTGACCAGCCATTGATGGAAACTATTGTCAGGGAAAATAATAAGTATTTTGAGTACACCATGGCAAATACGATCATATCACCACAGTCAAGACTACACAGGTGGAAAGAGACGACTGTTGCAGAAATGTATTTGCTTTTTGCAACAATAATGCTTATGCCTCATGTCTATAAGCATAATATAAAAGCATACTGGTCCACAGATCGGCTAATTTCAAACCCCGGTCTTCAGTGAAATCATCCCAGTGAACAGGTTTATCTTACTGTTACGTATGTTGCACTTCTCTGACAAAACCAGGCCTGACAGAAGTGACAGGTTATACAAGATTAGAAATGTTTTCATGTATCTCAAACAAAAGTTCAGCATATACTTTTATCCATTCAAGAATCTTGTAATTAACGAGTCTTTGATTTTGTTCAAAGGTAGACTGTCATTCAAGCAGTATATACCGAGCAAGGGGAAACACTTTGGTATAAAACTGTTTGTACTCTGTGACTGTGACAGTGGACTGGTGTTGGATATTGTTGTATACACAGGAAGTAAAACATTGAAAGATACCAAGATGTTATTGGGTATCTCAGGTGACGTAGTGAGAAACATGATGGCACCTTATCTTGGTAAGGGGCATACATTATATACCTATAACTGGTACACAAGCCCATTACTTAGTGATTTCATGCGAGTGAACAAGACAGATGTGTGTGGCACAGTGAGTTCTAATCGTAAACATATGCCCAGGCTCAACGCAGGTGCTCGTAGTGATGACGTGCAGGTGTTTACTGCCAATGACATCATGGCATTACGGTGGCATGACAAACGAGATGTCACATTGTTGACAACCATTCACCGTAATAAAATGCAAGACAGTGGCAAAGTTGATCGAGTGACTAATGAACGTATTCAAAAACCCCGTGACCCGTGATTGATTATACACAAAACATGCGCTTGGTTGACAAATGTGACATGCAGATTGGGTTTTGTTGATTGTGTTCGTAAGAGTTACAAGTGGTACATGAAACTTTTCTTCCATCTCATGGACATTTCAATGCTCAATGCGTATAATATGTACCAAATAAAGACTGGCAACAGACCACCGTATGGTGAATTTTGTTTGTCTGTTGTCAGACAACTCATAATGAAGTACCAGGTAAGAACACCTGCTATACAACAAGGTCCTCGAATTACTCAGGATATACCCAAGCGTTTGAGGAGGGAAGGTGATCATTTCATAATACAGCTTCCTTCAACTGAGAAGAAATTTGCTCAGAAGAGATGCATCATCTGTGCACAAACAAAACAACGGCAACAAAGACGCAAAGACACTCGGTTTATGTGTGAGGAATGTAAGGTGCCTTTGTGCATGGTGCCTTGTTTCAAGGAGTTCCACAAGTTCCAGCAGTTCTAAAACCATGTCCAGTAATTGTAAATATGTAAATATATGATAGAACATTAGTATTATACAAGATTTGTGCATGTTTATTGTAATAAACAACAGTGGTAAACAATAATATGATAATAACTTTAGTGCGGTTATTGTATTCAATACAGTGAGTTTATATATATACATTATATACAGTATTGGTCTCTCAGGCCCCAAATGTTAGTAGGAAAAGAAAACATTGGAAAAGAAAAGAA